TGGCATTCACAGTTGCCGTGGAGGAAGAATAGTCAGAGTCTTCAAGGGATGGAGTTTGACGTAGGACAGCAGTTTGTGGAGGAGTGGAGTCAAACTTGAATCTTTCAGTGAAGCCATCGTCTTGAAGATCTGCTTCAGCACTAAGCAGCGTCAAACTCTTCCATGATCGCCGACAGGTCTCGTGAGTGACAAAAGCATTCTTGGTGGCAAGATTTCGAATGCGATTGGCGTCCACCAAGAGTCTTTGCATCTGTCTCTTAAGCCAAAAGTGATGCTTATCTTGTTTCTGATGAAGTGCCACAAGAAGTTCTCGGTCATTTAGAACACGAGAGCGCTTTTTAGGCCTTTGGGCTATGGTGCTTTCAGTAGCTTCAGTTTGTGCACGATGAGGCAGACGAGTGTTCCCTGCCATTGGATAGATACGTGTTACTGCTTGGACACCTTCCATGGGCTGAGTGAAGCTTTGGTGATCAGCATTTTGAAGACAAAGAGGCTTCTTGGCAGGCTCAGGGTATATGGCTTCAACTGACATATCAACCTCGGGTAGGAAGATCAGATGATTGCGAGCAGAGGACTGATAGTTGACAGAGGAGTGTAGCTTGATAAGGCGCATGACCCATGGAGCATAGAATTTTAGGCCAAAAAGGTCAGATCCAGATGCAGCCAATTGCCGGATGAAGAATTCTTGCGAATTGAAGCTGATGCCATTGAGGACGTAAAAGCCCAATGTCTTCATGGCTCCTTCAAGTTTTGCAGCTGATGAATGCCCTTTGACACTACAAGAAATATGTCAACTAGTGACCTTCTGTCAGTGACCCTGGAAGAATTGGTCATAGATCTATGACCATTTCAGACCAATTGGCCAAAAGCTGTTCGAGGGGCTTCAAACCCTAAACCATTGCGACCATTTTGGTCAGAAAGGTCGTAATTTCCTTACACGAAAAGGTCATAAAGCAAACAGCGCTAGTCCGCTGCCTTATTTCTAGTTGTTAACGACCAATATAGATGGTCATAGCCTTGTAAATTGTGGTGGGTTGCTATGACTAGGCGCCACCTCATCAGTTTTGCCTATGTGTCATGTCCATGTGGCAGTTTTTGCCCTAGGTTGTGAAGCAACCTATATTTCTGTCATTCCTAACATTCCCAAAAAAATCTCATAAATTCTTTGGGTCATATCTTCGTCAAATATGTAAAAACCTTCCTTGCCTAGTTCAAAAATAATTCAAAAATATTCATTTTCCTATTCTGTTCAGAACAATAGTTTGTGAAGGAAGTACCACTTTGGCATGTCCAAATAGTATCCATTTTCTACAGTGCTTTTCTATGCCCAAATAACCATCCTCCACCAAATGCCAGCTCAATCCATTCATTATTTTGAGCCGAGCTTCAACATTCGTATTTATGTCCAGTGTGGTAGTTTGCAAAGCAAGTACCACATAGGCTCCTCCTTTTGAGCTGAAAATTTGTGAAGACGGTCTTCTTAGTAACTGATCATCCTCAGCCAAAACTCACGCCCATTAGCCATGTGCATTTCCCGTACTGCAAATCAAACACTTGGCTGCTTATTCATGTTTGAGCATCGATCGGTCTCCTCGTGAGAATCTTATGTTGTGATTTTCTTCCTAGCACCTACGTGGGGAATGCCCAACCCACTAGACATACTTAGGCCACCCAGAACACATGGCAACGCCACGGTCACACGGTGACCACGCGGTGGGCATGCGAGTTTACGCGCTCTAGAGTTGGGGCCCTCGGCCACCACCCAAACCTCGACGTATCGCCACCAAGCCATGTATTTATGATTAAATAGGTACTTATGTAACTAGAAATGATTTTTGGAAAAAATAAATAGCAAACTATGAGGCAGCTGCAGTTCAAATTTGACCCGCTTCCAACTGAATCGGCAGAAATTTGTCTTTTTCATGAGAGGTGGATCAAAACTTTTTGCACCCAACCATTTTGTCAATTGTGCATTAAATATGTCCTAGTATTTTATAAAATTGATTTGGTCCAATTTTGCAACAATTATTTGGTAGTTCCTTCACAAAAAAATCTCCTTTTGGGCACTCGGAAAATGAAAAATGGTTTTTTTGTCCAAAGAAAATGAAAAATTCCTTAGGCAACATTGTTTGCCATTCCAATATGCACCCTTGTGCACAATATGAGATCATTTGAACAAACTATGCCACGAATGTGGCCATAAGATTGATCATTTGGCTTGAAAGCCATGAATCTTCACAGATGATAGCTCATTTCTGAGAACACTTTTTTAAAATAATTTCCATATTACAAGTTTGTTATTTTTCCTGGGAACTTGGCCACATATAATGACACCATGTGAAGGTTTCCAAATTTTTTGATTTTTTTTGAACTTTTTATGCCCGCTTCAAAATGCGGTCAAAACGGCGGGAATGACCGTTCCTAGCTAGTGGTTGAATCTTGGAATTTTTTTGGTGTTTCTCTGATTAAATAGGTACTTATGTAACTAGAAATGATTTTTGGAAAAAAAATAAATAGCAAACTATGAGGCAGCTGCAGTTCAAATTTGACCCGCTTCCAACTGAATCGGCAGAAATTTGTCTTTTTCACGAGAGGTGGATCAAAACTTTTTGCACCCAACCATTTTGTCAATTATGCATTAAATATGTCCTAGTATTTTAGAAAATTTATTAGGTCTAATTTTGCAACAATTATTTGGGAGGTCCTTCACAAAAAAACCTCCTTTTGGGCACTCGGAAAATGAAAAATGGTTTTTTTGTCCAAAGAAAATGAAAACTTCCTTAGGCAACATTGTTTGCCATTCCAATATGCACCCTTGTGCATAATATGAGATCATTTGAACGAACTATGCCATGAATGTGGCCATAAGATTGATCATTTGGCTTGAAAGCCATGAATCTTCACACTTGATAGCTCATTTCTGAGAACACTTTTTTAAAATAATTACCGTATTCCAAGTTTATTATTTTTCCTGGAAACTTGGTCACAAATAATGACACAATGCGAAGGTTTTCCAATTTTTTGATTTTTTTTGAATTTTTTATGCCCGTTTCAAAATGCGGTCAAAACGGCGGGCTTGACCGTTCCTAGCTAGTGGTTGAATCTTGGAATTTTTTTTGGTGTTTCTCTGATTAAATAGATACTTATGTACCTAGAAATGATTTTTGGAAAAAATAAATAGCAAACTATGAGGCAGTTTCAGTTCAAATTTGACCCGCTTCCAGCTGAATCGGCGGGAATTTGTCTTTTTCACCAGAGGTGGATCAAAAATTTTTACACCCAACCATTTGGTCAATTGTGCATTAAATATGGCCTAGTATTTTATAAAATTGATTTTGTCCAATTTTGCAACAAATATATGGTAGGTCCTTCACAAAAAAAACTCATTTCAGGCACTTGGAAAATGGAAAATTAATTTTCCGTGCAAAGAAAGTGAAAACTCCCTTAGGCAACATTGTTTGGAATTCCAATATGCACCCTTGTGCACAATATGAGATCATTTGAACAAACTATGCCATTAATGTGGCCATAAGATTGATCATTTGGCTTAAAAGCCATGAATCTTCACGCATGATAGCTTATTTCTGAGAACACTTTTTTAAAATAATTTCCGTATTACAAGTTTATTATTTTTCTTGGAAACTTGGTCATATATAATGACATAATGCGAAGGTTTTCCAATTTTTTGATTTTTGTTTTTTGAATTTTTTATGCCCGTTTCAAAATGCGGTCAAAACGACGGGAATGACCGTTCCTAGCTAGTGGTTGAATCTTATAATTTTTTTGGTGTTTATCTGATTAAATAGATACTTATGTACCTAGAAATGATTTTTTGAAAAAATAAAGAGCAAACTATGAGGTAGCTGCAGTTCAGATTTAACCCGCTTCCAGCTAAATCGGCGGAAATTTGTCTTTTTCACGAGAGGTGGATCAAAACTTTTTACACCCAACCATTTGGTCAATTATGCATTAAATATGACCTAGTATTTTAGAAAAATGATTTGGTGCAATTTTGCAATAATTATTTGGTAGGTTCTTCACAAAAAAATCATTTGGGGCACTCGAAAAATGATTAAAAATAGCTAGAAAGATGAGAAATGCGTACAGATTGATCCTTATCCATAAAATGTGGTCTAAGTCTAGTGAAAATTTGTGTGGGGTACCCTTTTGCAAAATATTTTTGATAGTTACTTCACAAAATCCCTCTAGTTTTTGTACTTGGAAACTCTTTTAAATCACTGATTTTCCGAACCAATCAGAACCATTCCCACGGATCGATGACATGGCACTCATCCATCCATCCATCCATCCATCTCAACATCCCACATCCATCCGTCCATCCACCCCACCGTAGCACAAACCCTAGCTCACATGACACCCCTTCCCCCATCGCACCCTTCTCCCCCATCTGCTCGCCGCCGCCGCCACCTCCCGATCCAATCTCACCCCGCTGCCTCCCGATCCACCGCCGACCTTGCCGTCCTCCTCACTCACCGCCGACCTCGCCGTCCTCCTCACCCACCACTACCGACCTTGTCCCTCCCTCCCCTCACCATCTCTCCCTCGTCTCACCTCACCGCAAGCGCCGCAACCCAATCCATCGCCGCCTCCCTTCCAGATCCATCGCCGCCACCGCCACCTCCCTCCGGTGGAGCTCGCCGTCGTTCCTGGCCTCCCCCACGCCCCCCTCCTCTCGCCCCTCCCCTTCCCTCACCACCCAACCGAACCAACAAGCCCACCAACCGAAAGAGAAAAGCGAGCGGAGGCGAGATGGCGACCGGACGCGAGGCGGGCGGCCGCGCGCTCCCGGCCGGTGCTCTTCGTCGTGCTCGACCTCCGTCCGGCTTTCGAGGCTGTCAGTGCTGCACTTCTGGGCGCCGCGCTCGACCCCACCATGCACACCGTCTCTCCCGCGACCACGCGCCGGCCAGATTCGCCGCCTGGGCGACAGATGGGAGGATCTGTCAGAGGAGGGGGTGCGGAGGGAGAGGAAGGCAGAGATGGCGCAGAGCACACTGCCGAGAAGCTGCAGAGCCCGGCCTCCCCCGACGACGAGTTCGAGAACGAGGGTCATGGCGGCACCGGGCCTCCCCGAGGCGGACTTCAGGAAGGCGCTGGACTCGGCGCTCTTCAGGCGGTGGCTGGAGAGCCTGCAGGCGGAGAAGGGCCTGCTCGCCCACGGGAAGCTCAGCCTCCGCCAGATCCTCATCCAGGTGCTCCTCCCCCTCTCACACTCTCACATCAAAATGTTTGAGCTGTTACGATGTCGTTCCAGAATCAATCGACAGATGGCGCCTCTGAAATTCACGACGCGTGGTGTGCGCAGGGGGTGGACATGTTCAGGCAGCGCGTGGGATTCCTCAAGTTCAAGGCCGACATCGTGGACGAGGAAACCCAAGCCAAGGTGATCACAACGTCCCAGGATTCTATCCACTTTTACTGGCAAGTAGTAGCAGGTTGTGATTCATGCAATTTTAATGTGTTTCTCTATATAAAGATTGCCTAGACACAAACAGGGTTTGGATCAACAAGAGTAAGTATAGAGATCATAAGGTAGGTGCAGATAGGATAGAACAGGGTGAGGAGCTGCGACAGACTGAGGCGCCCAATATATGCGCTTCACCAGGGTTTGCCAAATCGTTTGTGTTAGCATGATGGATTTAGAGCTATGTAATTGATATGCTCGCGAAATCTTTGTTCTCGTCAGTTCTGACATAATCATTGGTACTCTTCCTTACCTTTTAAGTTGGTACATATTTTGTGGATTTTCGTTCATCCTGTTGATCTGCAATGTATTTAGATTCCAGGGATTGTCTTTGCAAGAGGGCCTGCTGTTGCTGTGTTGATCCTTTTGCAGTCCAAAGGGCAAACTTATGCTGTTCTTACTGAACAGGTATATATATTAGCTCTAGTACTGCATTGCGGCCAATTAATTACCGGGGTTGCAGACGATTGTGTAGTTGTGTTGTGGTGACGGTGGTTGTTTGGACGAATAGTATGCTATGGCACAGCTGTTGTTGCCATACCAAATTTTTTAGGTAGGCATTGTGGTAATTCCAGTTATTTGGCACCGTATCATTATTTGGTTGTGCTGATGCTAGGTCCATGGTGCTTTCTGGGGCGATTTTAGTTTAAGTGGTTGTGGTTGTTTTTATAGCCTATGGTTTGCCCTCTTTTGGATTCATAGTTAGCCTTGAATTCATCTAGTTTGGATCAAAACAGAGGTCCTTTTGTGGTTTCTCTTCTTGCTGTAACAACCAAACTCATGTACCTAGCTTCTTCTTTGCTGACAAATACATGCATTTCTTTGGTGCATGCATTTCTTGCACAAATGGCCTCCATTGCACAAATGACACCTGATACCTGCTTTTACTAATTCTTTTATGCATCTGCAACTACTATCCTTATTACTGCAACTTGGTTTGACCTTGTCCATCAGTCACTGATGTCTTTCTCACCTAGACACTGACCGTGTAATTTGTTTTTGTCTTTTTTTCTTTGCACCAGAGGGCCCAAGTCGTGCAGTGAAAACTGAGTCAGATTACTGATGGACCGATGGATGCCTTGTATGTCCCGTTAATTAGTGCATACAAGGCATCCCGATGTGGGATTCTCTAAGCCCAGTTTCCTCGGCATTGTCAGAAGAATGTGAATAGGGTAGCACCAGATTACTACTATTTGCACTTGGATTATATTGTTTTGGTTGTTAGTAGCCTGCTTGTCCTTGTTCGCTCATAGCAATCTAGCGCTCTTGATTGTACACTTGTATCTGGCCAAAATCGGCACTGGCCTATTCTATTAGTGAGGTGCTTGTTTGGACTGATTTATACTTATTATTCTGTTTCATTAGTAAATAGCTGAAACCAAAATCATAGAGCAGAAATATATTTGGCTGAACTGCTCTTTCATTGTACCACCAAATACTGAAGTTTGGGGTGGGTGAAATCTTAGGCTTTATCCTTCAGGTTTAGCTTGTTATGAAAAATTATTTACTTGTCATGTGTTGTACGCCTGCCTTTCTTTGGCTTCCTGAAATCACATTTTGTTTGGCAGGGGCCAACTTTAATTTGCTCATCACAAAAAGTCAAAAAATTGTACGTATGTGCAGCTTGCTGAAACTTCGACTGAATCTAGTTGGATCTTCAGTTTCTTGTATCTATGAACAAATATGCATCACTTTTTTTTCTTTTTGGTTCGAGCAAACTCAAGAGTCCTTTCTAAAACTGTAGCTACCAAGACTCTGATTTTTAATCTCCGTTTTCTGTTTTCCCCAGCTACCAAGACTCTGAGTTTGTGGTGATGGCAGCTGACACGGAGCCGATCCAAATCTTCCCCCACCCCTTGTTGTCCTTGATGATAACAAGGTAGAAATTCTGTTTGTATGCTGCATCATATGTAGTACTGCTAATTAGTTTGTATGCCATTGCTTGCGTGATATGGTTAGACCGACGACTGTCAAGCTCATAATTCTGTATGATATGTTAAAGATTAACAGAATATATGATATGACTTGTGTGCTGACCTCTAGTATCTTGCTCATCTGTAATGTGTCTGTTGTACGCTTGCCTTTCTTTGGCCTGCTATTTTTATTTATCAAATGAAAGGACATTCTATTTGGAAGTGGGTGATTTTGCTCAAAAATAAGTAAATAAATTGTATGTGCATGCTGAAATGTTACATATCTGTTGGTTGCTGTATATGGGCAAGACGAATTGAATCCTGTTGTGTACTTGTCAATTCTAGCTTATATTGGTGTTTTGCGATCCTAAAAAAATATTGAATCCTGTTGTGTACTTGTCAATCCTGCTGTGTATTCATATTGTGTCTCTGTTTTCTTGTATGAACGAGTTATCTCATTTTAACTAGCTGGAGAATAAAAAGCATGGTACTAGCTCAATTTGTGTTATCATTCTAAATATGTTTCCTTTTATTGAATGGTCTGTTCGTGAGATATTTGCCTCACTTTTTCTGATTCTTCTCTGTTGATTCATGTAACAGGGCGACTGAGGAAGGCATGTTGCCATTTTGTTTGTTCCCAGCCCTGATTATGGTTGTCCAACGACTCCGGCATGTTATTCATTTGACTATGGTCGTCCAACGAGTCTGACATGTTGTCATTTTCTTGTAAAGCACTACTGTATTACACTTGTAGAGCTTGTAAAGTACTGTTTTACACATGGTCATATGTATTGGCACGGATAGAGCTTGTTACTGTGATTGCCATTGTATTACATGATCTGGTTGCTCTTATTTGAAGTATCATGTGTGATTTTTGGTTGCTGGTTGAAATATGAAGAATATGAGCCTGGTAGATGGGACCTACTTACCAGAATATGACAAATGGGACCCAGTTATCAGAACCTGACAATCGGGACCCATCTGACTAGTGGACCCATTTAATAAAAAAAGAAAATAAAATTGTTTAGACAAAAAGGCCACGACCCAACAACAAAAAAGGCTGCTAATGTTGGGCTTGGCCCATGAAGCCGATCAAAAATTGACATAAAAACACAAAAATAGGCTGAATTGTTGGGCTCGGCCATGTAAAACACCCAATTGGACCGGGCCGATTCTAATTTTTGACCTTTTGAATTGGTCGCAATTTTGCCATGTCAGATTGCCACATCGGATCCGACGTGGCCTGGGCAGACAGCTAGTGACCAAAACAAAAGGTCATGGGTTCAACGACCTTCTGTTTTGGTCGTAAACGTCTACGACCTTCTCATAGAGAAGGTCGCTATAGTCAGTTAACGACCGTCAGCTTTTGACCTTCTCTTTTTGGTCACATAAAGGTCGCAAATGAAAAACCATGACCTTTCAGTGACCAATAGTCAAGGTCACAAGTTGACATATTTCTTGTAGTGTGATAGGCCATAGAGTTCGCCTGATGATGTGATATAGTGTGTGAGGCAGATACTCTAGGTCATCAACAAAGAACTCCTTCGGGTATTCAGCGTCAGATGGCAGAGGCTTCATCATGCTCAACATCTGGCTCATGTTTGGTTCTGGCTTATGGAAGATGCTCTCCAGTGCATTGCGGTGGAGTTGACAATCAGGTTCATACAGCTCTCCAGGAGTGGGTAGGCCTATAAGCTCAATGATGTCAAGAGCTTTGGCTTCATGATGAACATTTCCTGTCATCCACTCGAGAACCCATGTCTTTATATCCCTGTTGTAGCCGCGAATGTGGAGGGTAGCATAGAATTGAAGCAAAAGTTCCTCATTCCAATGTTTTTTGTCTGTCACAAAGCTGAGCAGACCGGCATCACAAAAACAGTCAAGTGCTTCTTCTAAGCATGGCAGTCCAGCAATGGCTTCAGTGTCGAGGCGCATATGAGGGAAAATGTGCCCTTGATCATACAGAACGCAGGAGTAATAGCTTTGTTGCTGATAGCTCCAGAAACGATCAGATGATATTCTTGGCCTTGAGTAGGGGTTCTTTGCACTGTCAAAGAAGGTGTTGTGGCTTTTGAATCCATTTGCATTGAAGGACCCTGTAGAGTTTGCAGTACCTGGGAACCTTGGCAGTCTTGGCTTTGGTTTCTGGACCTGAGGCCTATGCTCAACATGATAATCAAACTGAGGACTAGAGGCAGTAGGCGGAGGGACCAGAATGGGCCATCGGACAGTGGTTAGCTGACCATGATTGTTTGCTTGCTCAATTGTATAGGGCCTTGGTGGCGGAATAGGAGCAGTGGCAACAACTGAGGCTTCAGGCTGCACAACAGACACTTGAGGAGCAGGTGCATCATTGGCTTCGGGCACATTGGTTGGTGCAGGCTCCACATTTACTTCAGCCATGATTACATCATTGGCTTCATTTGTGTTGGTGGTGGAAGCCTCAAGATTTTAAACCTCCACTTGATGAGCTGGAGGGTCGGGCACTGGCACGTTCACATCAGGAACAGCTTCTTCAGTATTGGGGGGAGTAGGGACACGTACGTCTTCTTGATTGTCATCGGCTGATGCAGCCGGATTGTCTTCAGCAGCTTGGGCTTCAGACACGGAGGCATTCACAGTTGGAGTGGCTTCTGGAAACACTTTCCGTGCAATAGATGGGTGGTGCACTTCTCCTTCTGGAATGCTCGAAAGAGAGACTTGAGGCCTTGGTCCTTTGCGAAGCCTGCGTAATGCTGTCGACACCTTTGGAGATGGAGTTGGCTGGGCCTCAAAGTCCTCTTGTTCTTCTTGCACAGGTGGTGTGACTTGTGGTTGTTGTTTGGGAGTACTTGGGGAGTCTTGTTGCTGTGGGTGATCAGCCCATGATGCATCCTGAGCAATTGGCGTCAGAGGACGACCAATGCTGATGAGTTCGCTGTTCGTCAGAACAGGCGATGATACCAAGTTGTGTTCGATCTTAGGAAGAACTTCATCATCTTGCTGGAATGTCTTCAGCTTCATGAGCCTCTATGGAAGCAGGCTCATGAACTATCATCCGTCGTTCTTGGTGTTCAGATGCAGGGCGAACCACTAAGATAGGTTCAACAACTAAGGGCTCTGTGGGAGCAGCCCTATTCTTCTTGGTTTTGCGCTTCTT